GGAAGGGATTGATCTTCCTGCAAAGGTGCCTGTAGTAAAGACAGCAAATGGTGTGTCACTGCAGATTCTGTGCCATGGCCAAGCGCCGAGGCGAGGGCCTCCCCAGCCGAAAGACAGCTCTGGTGCCCCCCTCTGCAGACTACTCCACCCCACCACATCGCACGGTGCCCGAGGACACGGACCCTGAGCTGGTGTTTCTTTGCCGTCATGTCTATGATTTCCGCCATGGCCGCATCCTCAAGAACCCCCAGTAGCCTCCTTATGCCTAGGCTGGGGCTGCCCATGGGCAAGTGGGGCTCAGGGCAGGGGTACTGCTTGAAGCACAGCACTTGGTTAAGGGACCACAGGGGTCTGAGGTTGCTGGCCTGTGGTTCTCTTGGGAGGGAGGGCAGGGGCCCTACAGGTTATGGGCCCCATGGGGAGGGCAGGGGAGGCCAAGGAACAATAAAAGCATCAGGACTCTCAGCTTGGCCCAGGGTACTTCTCTGGTCCCCTGGGTGGAGATCCCTGAAGAAGCATTCTTCTTCAAGGCTGGGCCAAGCCTGAGAGCCATGGGATCCTGGGGGTAGGGGAAGCAAGGCCCTTCAGGAATCAGGCCCAGCAGGCCCTTCTGCAGCTTCCCCCCAGGACCCTGTGGGGTAATGGGAGCCAGCTTTACCTCACCCACTGTGACCCGCTCCTTCCCCTTCAGCCTGGGACCAGGCCCTCCCAGACTCTAGCACAGCTCTGAACTTGTTTTCTTTGAAGCATAGAGAGCCAGGGTCTGGCTTCCAGAGCATTGATTTCCTCTTGGGCTTGGGCCTTTCCCTGGCTTTCCTCCCTTACTCCTGCAGCAGCCCCTGGTGCTGGGACAAGTTGACCAGGCCCTCAGTCAGGGTGTGGCCCACTTGTCAGAGTTAGCCTCCTGCTTACGTCCCTGAGAGGGCTACCCAGCAGGTCTGGCTTCCCAGAAGTTACTTGATAAACATGGGGTCTGTCATGTCTGGGAGGTCAGGTGGGTGGTGGGAAGGGTAGGGGGCAGGGGGCAAGGAAAATTGCTACCTGATTTGTTGAAGACTTTTCCTCTTGCCTTACACTTTGAGGTTCTAGGAAACCTCTTGCAGAACTTCACACATGACTCTTCAAGCCACACCCACCTGAAATCAAACCAAAGGAGTGCTGTGGCTCCCTTTGCCCTGCCACCCCATACCCTAGTCTTTTGTAGATTGCACTAATTTACATCCCAGCGAGAATCAACACTGTATCAGTCCACAGACCTGCTGAGCTGCAGCCACTCACTCTAGGAGCTTTTCAGTTTGTTCCCATGCCCAGGGGACCTGTTCTCACCTCATACTGCTCCCCAGAATAGATTAGGAGTCTCAGCCCCTGTCATCCTTGTCTGGGCCTGGCCCCAGGGCTCTTTGTGAAGGAGCTGGAGAGGCCTAGTTATTCCCTATTTGTACCAAAGAGGAGCATGGTTAGGAGAGGGAGTCAGTGAAGTATGGCTTGGGCCTGGCCACTGGGAACCTGCTAGCTGAGCACTGCCTCTGGGGGCAGGAGCTGAGGAAGGCAGCACTGAGTCCTGCTCCCCTAGGAAGGGATCCACAAAGAGAGGGCTCCAACAGGCTGAGGTGGTAGCACTAGGTGAGGACAGACTGGGCAGGGACTGGAGATGGTAGAAGTGAATCTTGAGGGCACCCCAGTCACCGCCCAGGCTCTGTGCTATCCATGAGAAGACAGGCTGCTTCTGATTGGGCCACTGGGTGTGAGTGAGGCTTGGAGCCTTCAGTGGTAAATTTAAAATTGGGAAACCCAATCCCAAACCTCAAGGGAAGGGACTTGGGTCCCCTCATATTGAGTAAGCTGTTTGGAGGAAGGTGTGGGGAGGGTGGGGCTGTAAGAGAGGTTAGCAGAGTGGCACTGGGGGCTCTGGAGAGCCAGCCTTGGAGCCTCCTCATTCCCAGGGTGCCAGCCCTTGAAGCCAAGGAGCCTGGCCTGTCCCAGAAGGAGAGGACATCCAGGCCCCTCCCAGGAGGCAGGATCTGCTTCCCAGAAGTTAAATGCTTTTGAAATCTCTTAGATGTGGAAATATTTTTTTTGAACCTGAAAATGCAGCTGGTAGAATATCAATGGAAACATAATCCATGTAAAATATATTTTAGTTGATATTTTGTAAAATGCACTTTTTGTGTGTGTCAACCCTGGTTTCCCAGATCTGTATTTCAGTGTTTACAAGGGTGGGGGGGAACCTTTCCTCATCTCCCTTTTGACAGAGATTAGAAGTACTTCTTTAAGAAAAAATAAATTTGAGAAATTGTATTGATTTAGAAAAGGATCGTTTTCTTCTGTGTCCTGTCATCTTTGGTGTGGGGTGTGGAGGGACTGGCTGCTTTTTATTTTGGGGGTCTCATTTAGCCCGTGATGTGCCAGGGCTCACTAAGGCCAATAAGCAAAGAGAGCACTAAGGTGGAAAAGGAGAGCAAGGAGAGGAGAGACACGGAACTGGAATTTGGAGTTGACTTCTTAGAACTGGTCCCCAAGTAGGTGCTTGGTGAAGATGCCACCTCATCACCTTGGGTCATGCTCTTGGGGAACTAGCCCTTAGAAACTACTCTAGGGCCCTGATACCTTGTAACCAGCACTCCTTGCTGAAGGAATGAAGGCCAAGTCACATGGGTTTGACTGCCTGGGCCCCTGGCTCAGCCCAGGCCTTCAGTTTCAGTTGTGCTGAAGGTGGACAATTGTAAGGCCATGAGGGTTCCTAGGAGGTAAAACATGGCCGCCCAACCCTCTGCATTTTGGTAAGGACACCTAGATGTGGGGGCAGTTGCCAGTTCCATAGAGGCTGTTAGATTAGCGGCATGGACACCACTAGTGGACATGCTTATAGCACTGCCCTGTTGATGTATTATCCACAAGAACTCCATGAGATAGGTGGCATCCTGTCCTCATTTTATATAGAGGAAATAGGTGGTAGTAAGTACCCTGGCCAAGGACTCCCCCAGATTGACTATTCCTGTACTTTGACTCTTAACACAGAAAACCTCCCTCCTAACAGGGAACGTGTGACCATATTATCAGAAACTGAATGATTATTTTTCTTTCCTTGTATAAAATTGTTGTTAGTTGCTGTCAAATTGATTCTGACTCATGGTGACCCCATGTATGCAGAGGAGAACTGCTCCATAGGGTTTTCAAGGCTGTGACCTTTTGGAAACAGATTGCCAGACTTGTTTTCCAGGGTCCCACTAAGTGAATTAGAATTGCCAACTTTTCGACTAGTAGTTGAGTGCTTAACTGCACCAGCCAGGAACTTCTGGTGTAAAAATAAGACATGTTTGTTGTTAAAAATAATTGATTTAAATTGAAAATCCCACCTCTAGAAATCTACCTGTAGTTGGTGCTATTCGAATCAAGGAGTGCAGTAAAGGCTAAACGTTGATACAGGCTTCTAAAGGCATGAATAGGCTACTGCATGCATCCTAACATTTAGACAGTGAGAAGATGGGAAGGTTGCCAAGCTCCCCCACACACACTTCTTGTGTGGGGGGTGAGCACCCATGAGCCCTCTACATTTTCTCATCCCTCAGAACCCCTCAGCCTGCCAAATTCATTGCATCAGTGGCAGCCCCGTTGTCTCATTAAACTCGAAGCCTCTGCCATCCTCTACTTTTCATCCTCTCTTTATAGCTTGTCTTAGGATCAATTGCTTCTACCTCCTAACCATTCCACTTTCGTGCTTGTCTCCAAAGGATCGTGATTAGGTTTTAGAATCAGGCTGACCTGTAAAATGGGAATGCCTGTAGTATGTACCTCCCAGGGTGGCTGTGACAACGAAAGAAGATGAGTACAAAATACTGACCAAATGCTGCCAGATCATATCACTATTCTGCTTTGCAGAGCCTCACTGGCTTCCCATGCATACAAGACAAGGTCTGAATACTTAGCTAGTGCCCAGTTCAGATCAGTATTTAAATGCTAATGACTGATATCCAAGGTGATCCCATACTTAACCTGAAGCCCACATGGCCAGCCAGGTCCCAATGAAGCTGCTTGTTTCCTGTGCTGCCCTGTGCCCCCAGCTCCTGTACCCTTCAAAGTGTGTGCTGACCTCTACAGTGGTCCAGAAGCACTGGCTTGTCATTGGCCCCGCACCAGGAGGTCCCAATTACCCTACCACTTCAGGCCTGAGGAGAAGGCAGGAGAATGTAGAAGATTTACATTTCCAGATGGTTCAGCATTACCCAGTTGATAAGCATGGTAGTCTGCCAGGTAGTTAAACCCTAGAGTCACCATGGAGATGAGCCACTGGTCAGTGTCTGACAGTCTTGTTCATACAGGGCTGTTCTCAAAGAGCACAGTTTCCTGGATTGGGCAAGACCTGCAAGGTTGAGGGGGGTAAGGGAGTGGTGGAAGCACACTAGGGACTGTGCTTCAGCTAAGAAGACTGGCCTCCCGCATGTCTGTACTCGCAGAGAGGCGCTGTGGACTCCCTGCCTCAGACCCACTCTTGGAAGATGGGCTCCGCCAGGCCTGAGCTTGCCGTAGGGTGGTGGGTGCTGGTCCTCTCTGCCCGGCTCCAGCAGGACCTGTGCTGCGGGAGAGAAAGGTCCGCGACCTGGGTTTTCTCCACCTTCGGGGGCTCGGTAGCTTTTGTTTTCGAAGCCCGGGGGTCCTGGGCGGCCCTGGCTCAGGCGCCCTCTCTCGCGGGGGCACCGGTCCCTCTCCACGCCCCCGGCCTGGGTCCGCCCCCGGCCTGGGCCCGCCCTCGCGCCTGTGTCACGGCGGGGCCGGGGGCGGGGAGCAGCCGGGCGGGACATCCGGCCATGGTCCCTCGCCGCGCCTGCCTGCAGCCCGCCGCCTGCTTCGGTGCTGCAGCCCGAGCGCCCCCCGCCCGCTCTGCCCTTCCAGGCTCCCTCCTGGCTCTGCCGGCCCAGACCCTCGGCTCCCGCCTCCCGCCTGAACCCGCCCAGGCAGCCCTCAGACCTGCTGGGCCGCGCAGGCCCCCTCCCGGGAGCACCATGTTCCCCCGCCCGCTGACCCCGCTGGCGGCCTCAAATGGCGCTGAGCCCCTGGGCCGGGCGCTGAGGCGGGCCGCACTCGGCAGGGCTCGGGCCGGGCTTGGGGGGCCGCCCCTGCTACTGCCGTCCATGCTGATGTTCGCGGTGATCGTGGCCTCTAGCGGGCTGCTGCTCATGATCGAGCGGGGCATCCTGGCCGAGATGAAGCCCCTTCCCCTGCACCCTCCCAGCCGCGATGGCACGGCCTGGCGCGGGACGATCCCCGAGTCTGGGGGGCTGACCGTGGGCGTCGGGGACTCGGACTTGCAAGTGCGGCAGGATGTCCGGAACCGCACCTTGCGGGCGGTGTGTGGACAGCCGGGCATGCCCCGGGACCCCTGGGACCTGCCAGTGGGGCAGCGGCGCACCCTGCTGCGCCACATCCTCGTGAGTGACCGCTACCGCTTCCTCTACTGCTACGTCCCCAAGGTGGCCTGCTCCAACTGGAAGCGGGTGTTGAAGGTGCTGGCGGGTGTCCTAGACAGTGTGGACGTCCGCCTCAAGATGGACCACCGCAGTGACCTGGTGTTCCTGGCAGACCTAAGGCCTGAGGAGATCCGTTACCGTCTTCAGCACTACTTCAAGTTCCTGTTTGTGCGGGACCCCTTGGAACGCCTCCTCTCTGCTTACCGCAATAAATTTGGTGAGATCAGAGAGTACCAACAGCGCTATGGGGCTGAAATTGTGAAGCGTTACAGGGCTGGAGCTGGGCCTAGCCCTGCAGGAGACGATGTCACTTTCCCAGAGTTCCTGCGATACCTGGTGGATGAAGACCCTGAGCGCATGAACGAGCACTGGATGCCCGTGTACCACCTGTGCCAGCCTTGTGCAGTGCGCTACGATTTTGTGGGCTCTTATGAAAGGCTGGAGGCTGATGCCAACCAGGTGCTGGAGTGGGTGCGGGCACCACCCCATATCCGATTCCCCACCCGCCAGGCCTGGTACCGGCCAGCCAGCCCTGAGAGCCTGCACTACCATTTGTGCAGTGCCCCACGAGCTCTGCTGCAGGACGTGCTGCCTAAGTATATCCTGGACTTCTCTCTCTTTGCCTACCCACTGCCCAATATCACCAGGGAGGCGTGTCACCAGTGATCATAGGTATAGGGCCAGCACCTGTTGGGGACTGGTTTCAACAGTGCCAGCTTCTTGAGCCAAGAAACCCTTGCTCTGAATTCTCCAGATGCCCAGATTCCAGTGACTGCTCTTAGAAGTTCTTTGCTGAGGGTGGGTGCCCACAGTGGCTCAGAGGACAGGGCTGGGCAGAAGGCCTGGTGCTCCTCATTGGAGCGCTTTCAGGGGGCTGGTGTGATTCTTCTTGCCCTGGCAGGGCCAGACAGTGATTTGCCAATGAAGCAACACCCCTGATCTAAAGAGTGACTCCAGGCCCTGGGCTGCAGGGCTCAGTAGTCCACTTGGTCCTCCTTAATTTAACCTGTGGCCAAACCCAGAGGTGGTACCAGTCAGAAACACGACTACAGCCAGGGGCCCTATGACTTGATCTCCCATTCATGCTCCTCATTGGGGTCAACACTAGTGCCTTATAAATGCCTTTTCTGCCTTCCTGCTCCCCATTCAGAATTTCCTACACTTGCCAAGTTCTTTTTGTTTTTCCAAGGAAGGGAAAACTGAGGCAAGGCTCGTGCCTGATAGCTCCAGGAACCAGTACTACAGGCATCCAAAGACCACTGTGCCTAGCCTACTTTCCAGGGCTCTGGGAACCCTCTCCCTAACTCCCCTGCCCCTCAAGGGCTTTGAAGTTGTAGCTGTCATTTTTTCTGATGCATTTATTTAAAATTTGTACTTTTTGGTAAAACCTTTGTGAGGGCTTTGTTCCCATAAAAGCTGAATTTTTAATAAAGCTGTTTTGAATACAAGGTCAGCATCTCTGATTCTCCCTTCTGAGCACCTGAAGGCCCAGCCAGTCTGTCTTCCCAGGTCAGGAAAGGTAGTTGCAGGTAGAGAATCTAAGGCAATGTGTAACTTGCCTGGGCCAGCCCAGAGGGACGTTACCACACCGTAAAGCCATTGGGGGCTTCCAATAGGCCATACTGATCCCAGACTTGACTTTGAGGACTCCACCAAAGAGCAGGCCCCATTAGAAATGGTCCCAGGTCCCCAGCATACCCACATGGATTATTCCTTGAAGAAGGGTATGGGATATTTAATATGAGGCCCTCTGTGAGGAGGCCCTCTGTGCATTTCCAAATGAAAAGAGGATCTTCATTGAGAACAGGGAGGCTATTCTTGGAGGAGGTTGAGTGAAGGGCAGGTTCTTGCTGATGAAGGTCCAGAGAAAGGTGCTAGTGATGTGTGTGAAGGAAAATGTTTGGGACGGTAAAGTTCAGGCCTCAGTGTGGTGAGTTCTCCCAGTGCTCTCCAGAGATCCCGGCTTTCCCAGTAGGCAGAGAACCAGAGTCTGGGCCTGCCATGTCCCTTAATTTGCCCTTCCCTGTTAGTCCAGGTTTATATACTTCTAGTGGGAATGTCAAAGGAGCTCTGGTGGGGTAGTGGTTAAGGCATTTGGCTGCTAACCAAAAGGTCGGTGGTTTAAATCCACCAGCTCCTTCAAAGATGAAAGATGAGGCAGTCCGTTTCTGTAAAGATTTACAGCCTTGAAAATCCAATGGGGTTTGCTATGAGTTAGAATCAACTTGATGACAGTGAGTTGGATTTTGGAATGGGAACTTCTGTACTTCAGGGACCTGGGCTGTGGTGAGGAGGTGGGGCTTAGGGGAATGTGGAAGCAAGGCGAGACGGACTTTCCTTTGCAGGTGCCACCTATATCTAGCTTTATTAGCAGCCTGGCTTTGGAAAGGAAAACTAACCCTATTCCCTAAGTGGTGGTGGAGGTGCTTCTGGGGGCACTCATGTTCTCCATCATGACTCTTCAGGTCACATTGCCTCCAGGAGGACTTCACTGAGCCCTCGTCTGGGTTCCATGCCCCCCTTCAGAATCCCCTTGGCTCTGAGGACTTGGCCGCAGATAGCACTTACCATTCTCTGTTGTAACAACCCAGTTGCTTGCAGTCTCTTCCACTGAAATTATGAATTGTGTAATGTTGAGACTATGTCTGTCTTGTTCTCTCAACATTTGTAGCACTTCGCCCACAGTTCTGGCACATAGTAGTCATGGAGATGGCCATGCAGTTCCAAGGTATTCATCTCCCTGTAGAACAAAGAGCACTGCACTCGGAGTCACCCAGACTGATTGCATCCCAACGCTGCTCCGTACCAGCTGCCTGACTATCTCACTGAGCCTCAGTTTTCTCCATTGTATTGAGGGAATAATAATTCCTATCTGACGTAGAAGGAGCTCTGGTGGCGCAATGGTTTAAGCATTTGGCTGCTAACCAAAAGGTCGATGGTTCGAACCCACCCACTGCTCTGCAGGAGACAGATAAGACAGTCTACTTCTGTAAAGATTTACAGCCTTGGAAATCCTATGAGGCAGTTCTACTCTGTCCTATAGGGTCACTATGGGTCAGAATCAACTCGATGGCAGTGGGGTTTGGTCAGATTACTGTGAGGATTAATGAAGGCAAAGTGAATAAAGGCCCCTATCCCAACATCTAGCTCAAGGAATGTTCTTTGAGGTGCTGGCTGAACATCTGATCCCTCAAGGGCCTATGAGGACAAGGAGAAAGAGGGCATGTGTCCAGTCAATTACTGAAGACCCAAGCTGCCTTTGGGCAGAGACCTTTTGACCCCTGGGTTCATTTCCTCTGCCAGTTAGGCCTTCTCTGAGCTACTGTTCTCAGGAGTTCCCCACCCCCATGCCGCTTCCGACTTCTTCCTCTTTGCCTGGGAACTGTCTCTCTAGACCTAAACAGCAGGTAATCACGTCTCCTCATGAGGGCCTGCTGCTTGGAGCAAAGAGAACACAGAACCCAGAGAATGCTGGCCCAGCTATAGTATTTACTTCATCTCATTTAATCCTCAAAATTGCCAGTGCCATAGGTGTTATCCTGGTTTACAAATGGAAATTGGTACAGAGAGGCTAAGTAATCCACCCAAACGCCAGCCAAGGTCTGTCTGTCTCCCAAATAGATGAGAGAGGGAAAGAAAGGGAGGGAGAGAGAATTGACTTATGAAAGGTGGGAGCAGAGAAAAGAGGGAATAGGAGGGTTAAGGAAGATGAAGGATGGACAAGTTGTATTTAGGGGCATTTGGGCATATTCTCAGGAGCCCTGCTGGCATAGTCGTTAAGCTACTAACTGAAACGTTGCTGTTTAAACCTACGAGCTGCTCCGTGGGAGAAAGATGTTGCAGTCTGTTCCCTAAAAGAAACCTTTGGAAAGTCTATGGAGCAGTTCTACTCTATCCTATAGAGTCACTGTGATGTGAGTCAGAATCAACTCGATGACAGTGAGTTTTTTGTTTTTTGGGAATATTCTTTCTCAGTTGTTCCATTCCTTCATTCAACCCACTGACATTTACCAGTTCCTACCCTAGAGAAGGAAGGTTGGGCAATCCTACTTCTGTAGTGATACTGCCTCGGAAACCCAAGGAGGGGTCGCTATGAGTCGGGGCTGACTCGACGGCACATAACAACAACAACAACAACCCTAGAGAAGTAGGAGACTAATGAAGTTCCTTGGTGTGTAGTTTGTTGACTACTCTCCTCTCAAGCAGAAAAGGGGTCCTGGGCTACAAAGCATCCTGGCAGCCAGTATTGAACACCTGTGGTGTGGGAAGAAGGGAAAAGATTGGATGTAAGAGGGAGAGCAATTGCTAAGACAAACTACCTACTGGGTTTTTACCCCTAGAGTCAGTCCCTGGGGAACTTAATTTGTCATCTACCCTTACTTCCAGGTGGCAGAGAGTGTAGATATCTAGCTAGCTATAGTGGGGCCTGCCTTACACTGGACACCCAGGAAGCTTTGGATCATCAGGGGCAAGAGGATTCTTGGGACTGGTCATCTGGACTCTGTACTCCTGGAATTCCTCTTCCTCACTGGGTCTGCTCTGATCTCTGATGGAGCCAAGCCCTACACTATTGCCTGACCTCTAAGAGAATGTTACTCAGTTCCTTTGGAACTCACTCTAAACTCACTCTAAGCGTGATGAACCAAGGAAAGATGACGATCCCAAAGGGGTCTGGCCTGCCAGATCTGGGCCCTGATGCCCCTCTCAGCCTCCAGCTCTGATCCATTTCTCATCCTGTCTGAAACCACTGCCTAGAAACTACCTCCTCTTACATTCTGAGGTCCTTTTTCCTTGCCCTTTCCCTTGCCTGCTTTTGTGCCATCCTCTAGTAGGGTCCCACCACACAGGCTCTCTGCAGGCACCAACAAGGGTAGACTGGTGCAGCTGGCCCATCCACCCTGGGTGAGCACAAAACCCTCACCTTCCCCAGTGGCCCATCATGAGAGGGGGCCAGGCCCATAGGACTCCTTCCAAGATGGATCCAATGCCTTTTTTATTGAACCAGAACCTGCCTGGCTTCAAGCAGGAAGAAGGCATTCTTTCTCTCTCTAAAGGAAAATACTAATAATTAACAATAGGAGCTCTGGTAGCATAGTGGCTAAGACACTTGACTGCTAAACAGAAGGCTGGCAGTTCAAACCCACCAGCCACTCCTCGGAAGGAAGATGGGGCAATCTACTTCCGTAGTGATACTGCCTCAGAAACCCAAGGTGGGGTCGCTGTGAGTCGGGTCCGACTCGACGGCACATAACAACAACAACAACTCTGAATTGGGAGCATGCACTGGCCAGGCACTATGATTAATGCTTTACATGCATCATCCCCTTCATTCTACAACAAACCAGCACTAGGTAAGTATAATTATTCCCATTTTATAGATGGGAAAGTTAAGCTCGTATGACTTGCCCAAAGAGATAGTGGGGTTGGGATTAAAACCCAACTCCATCTAATGTTTGCCTCTCCTGAAGGAACATGCATTGTCAGTTGTCCAGCTCAGTGCATTTCGTTCATTTTCTCTGAATTTTATATCTGCTCCAATCCATATTCACAACACTCACTAAGTGCTCTATCTACTGTTTTTTTTTTTTTTTTTTTCCAGATTTGCCTACCCTTAGAATTACTTTCCTTTAGTGCTAGACCCAGACCCTGAATGTACTAGACTATCC